CACCATCTTTAAACATCTTCTGTTGTGATGTAGATGTTGCAGTATTAATATACTTTCTTCGACATCCAACAACTCCAACTCCAGCAAGATTCTCTCTCTCTCGGTCACCATTGTTCACTGTGACCGGAAAAGCCGGAAGCTAAGGCACCGAAATTATGATAGGGAGCGCTAAATTTGATGAATTCACTGTTAAAAAAGAGACAAGAATTAGTTAGCGCACCCTGCTGTTCTGCTTCAGTCCCACCACCAAGGGATCTCGAGAGGAACACGTAAGGCAGCTCTGGAGAAGGACCTTCAGTCAGCGGACGTAATAGCTTGAATCCTTCACATAGAAATCAGTCCACAGGCTGTGCTAGGCAAGCGGGAGAGTCGAGGACCGTCTCGGTTTTAAGTTCCGTTACAATCTGTTCAGCCACTGGCAATAAAAAACAATTAATACATGTAAAAAGTTACGTACAGTACCTTTAACACAACCAGGCTCCTTTCATATATTTGGGGAAAAATAGATGTCAGTGATAAACTTGCCTGAAAGTCAGTGCACCCTTGGGACCGAGCTAGACGCACAAATCCAACACCGTAAGGTTCGTTTCCTTCAGCACAGTTAACTTATAGTGCCATTATCCTTGCATGAAATGAGCTTTCTGACAGTAAGCACCTATAGCAGCTTTAAATCACAGCGTGGGGAGAAACCTGCTTGTACGCTGAGGTAATGGCAGAAAAGCACAGAGATTGAATATCACTGGAAGGCCGTGCAGAGTTATGACAATGGCAATGACTTGGAGTACGTTAGATTAATTATATTTGCTCTAAACTGGGATCATTACGTAGGAGAGCTGCTGCGGGGGGATGAAATAGTGATGCTGACTGTATGAGATTAAAAGTGATACTTGACTCTGTTCTGCTGTACGTTAGTGAGTTGTTTGCTGTTTTTGGAGCTTTGCATCCTCTCAATCTTCCTCAGCAGATGGAATTTGCTTTGTCGTCATCGAAATTTAGGTGCTAGAATTTCCATTTTTCCAAGCACTTCAAGGACTTTTCGTCAATGAAACTGCAGGGTCCCTCATACCCTCAGGTCCTCCTGACCATTAATCTTTATTTGTGTAGCACTTTTCAAAATAAAATTACAAAGTGCTGCACACAAAGCTACAAATTAAAAACTAACCAGTAGTAGAATGTATTAAAATGCAGTTACTTGAATACAAATTACAGGTATGTGTACTTTGCTTGAGTAGTTCCATTTGATGCCACTTGCTGTTGTTGTTATGGCTTAAAATACTTGGTTTTGTTGGCACCAACCCCACTGGAAAAACAGGGAATCATCGCTACAAAGCAGCTGGAAACACAGCAATGTCTTGCTAAATCACAACTGGTTTTGTTGTTTGTCGCTAAACTTTAAAATGCTGCTTACACATCAATGACTTTTAATTTTCATACTTAATTTTACATTCAATACTTAACGTTGAATTTTACTTCCAATGGAGTACTCTTATTTTTGCAATACTGCTTCAGTAAAGGAGCTAAATACTTAAAGGGTAACTTCCGTATTTTTTCAACCTGGATCTTATCTCACATTTTTGTGTCTATGCAACAAATGGGAACAAGTTTTGAAACTGGTCCAGTATTGAACGAGACTGCTGCAGCTGGCAGCAGTAAAACAGGCTACAGTGTCACCACTTGGGAAAATTGAGCACCATCAATTTATGTCCAGTTTTTGCCACGGACAGGCTCAGATTGTTATTTTAAGTGTCTGACAACATTATGGAAAGGATCCCCATAGAGATAGACCTGTTTGTAAGAGAGTAAGGTCCTGTTTGTTTAACCAAAAACAGCCTCAAAATCACCATCGCCAAATCCACCAGACTCTATTTAAATAAAGAGCAATTTTAGCATGTATAGAACCAGAATATTTTCACATCTAACTGGGTGAATCACTGGTTTATTTCAACCAAACCAGACTTGGTGACTTTAAACACAGTGAAAAAGACCCCCAGATGGCTTTGTGAGTTTTATTCTACTTCTGTCACATTTGAATTAAGCATATTTTATGATGATAAAATTGCAGTTTTTTTAGATGGAGTCTGGTGGGTTTGACCATAGCAATTTGGGGGCTGTTTCTGGTTACACAAAAAGGATTTCAATCTTTAACAAAAAGGTCTACCTCTGTATCCCTGTTAGTGATCAAAACAAGCATTTTTAGTGGATGTAAATTGATGGTGCACAATTGCCCCAATTGACTACACTGCAGCCTGTTTTGCTGCTGTCGTCTGCAGTGATCTCGCTCAATACTGGAACAACTTCAAAAGTTGTTGTTCCCATTAGTCACTTAGACACTAAAACGTGGTAAAATGGGGTCCAGGCTGAAAAATACTGAAGTTGCCCTTTAATGAAACCAACATTCACAGAAATAAAAATGGTCCAATTTGGAAATGTACTTGGACCATTTTTATTTCTGTGAATGTTGGTTTCAATTTGGAAATGTACTTAAGTAAATTAAGTAAATTAAAATGTTTGTTTCCATTTAAGCAATTTTCCTATAATCTAAAAAAGATAAAAGATAAATTAACAGTTATAAGAATGAAATCATATGGACTTATTATTATTTGTGCATTTTTAAGTGTGTTTCTTTGAACTTTATACAGCCCGGGTCAGTAAACTAATCTTTCCTCTGTTTATAGGTTTTATGTTTACTTGTTTTATTTCTGTCTGTTATTTTCTCTCGTGTGAAGCCCTTGGTGGCCTTGTTTGTAAAAATTGCTGTAGAAAATACAGTAGCTGTGTGTTACAGGTGAAGGACATTTTAAAAGGCCTGAGTGAAGAAGTGAGTGTCGACATAAAGGTGATACTCTGCTGTCTCTGTAGCCTGATGTCATACAGAGAAGTATCAAGGTGACAGAGATTTAACTTTGATTCATCACATTTCTCATCCACAGCATCATCATCATCATAAATGCGAGAAATAAACACGTCAGTCATATCGTCCCCAACCTTCCCTTGAGCTGGAATCAAGTGTGTACATCAGCATGTGACGAACAAGGAGGTTCTCCTCTGATCAGAGCTGGTTGGATGAGTCACCCGGTGCCTGAGGGAGTCAGTCTGTGGGATCTGCGTGGGAGAGCTCACTTGTAAACAAATGCTTGTCTGCAGAAATGTTGCACTCCAACTGAGCAGTTATCAAAGGCCTATTGAAGACAAGGAATCAGTGACATTGTGCTGAGTCTTTTATACAGCAGACACACATCTGTGGCTGATGGAATAAAATTTACCACTAAACTTTCTGCTTTCAAGGTCTCTAAACTTCTGCCACGCTCTCATAGATGTCAGACTCGAGGTGGAAAACAGTCAGTCAGAACATTTTAAAAGGAGTCATTCTGAATTTATATGATGGATTTCTACATGACATTCTTTATAGGAAAAAACATCATGTCGTACACTTTACAAGGACACCACGCATAACCACACACCTGTGTATGGCTGCAGCCAACCATCCATCCATCCATCCATCCGTCCATTCATCTGCTTATCCGGGGCCAGGTTGCAGGTGCAGCAGGATGAGCAAAGCACCCCAGACGTCCCTCTCCCCAGCATTGCTTTCCAGCTCTTACTGGAGGACCCCAAGGTGTTCCCAGGCCAGATGTCCGAGCTCCTCACCCTATCTCTAAGGCTGAGCCCAGACACCCCAAGGAGGAAACTCATTTCGGCCGCTTGTATCCACAATCTCATTCTTTCGGTCACTACCCAGAGCTCATGACCATAGGTGAGGGTTGGGACGTAGATGGGCCAGTAAGTAGAAAGATTCGCCTTCTGGCTCAGCTCCCTCTTCAACACGACAGTCTGGCAACACTGGGGGGACACATATGAATTACAAGGTTAATTAATTACTAATATTTATGTTGGACAAACAATCAGAAAACTCAGTAGTATTCAGTGTTAGAAAAGTATAAAGTGTAAACAAATATTTTGTATTCTTACTTGACAAATTACTCTCACAGTTAATTAATTCTTAAAATCTTATCATTTTATTTTATTTTTCTCTCTATCTAGAACTTTGGTTGATCAGCTAATCCTTTCGTCATTACATCCATGCACACAATATTAAAATATATACTGATTTTATAAAAGATAAAAAAAAATACCACTGAGAGTATTATAATAATAGAAATATAGCAATATGATAAAACAAAAAATAATTTAAAATACATTAATTCTGTATTAAAAGTACACTTTACTTGTTAAAACTCTCTTTCCAAAAAAATAATAATTTTTATACATAGTTAGATTTTATATTTATTTTTAGCACACTGCTTTATTTTCAACATCTTTTTTTAAAATCAATTTAATTGTGTCCTTATGACTTATATCTTACACTGTCATTTTTCTTAATTTTATTTTTGCATTTTTTGAATTGTGTGATTTTTATTTACCTCAGTGCAGTCCTCGGGACAGTATATTACCAATTTCACTTATTTGTTTTATTAATAGTATTTATCTTAATTGATAGATTTTTTTCTGTATTACTTTAATTGCCTGATTTTATTTGCCTAAGTCCTGAAATATTTTATCCTGGTTCAACTGCATAAAGCACTTTCTAACTTTGTTTTGAAAAGTGCTTCATAAATTAAGTTTATTATTATTTATTATAAACACAGTCATTCCTTCTACAAGACTTAAAACAGTAGAAAAAAAGTCACATCAAAACCAAAACTTGCATATTTTACTTTACTTATATGATCAGGCTATGCAGCAGAAAACCATGAAATTACAATAATGATAACACAAAAGTTCAAAAGTATGATAAAGTATAATATAGAAATCATTATCTTTATGGAAATATCACAAAAGTGGCATAAAATACCGTAAACACCTTTAAAAAGCGCCATAAATAGCCTTATGGTCATATTAAAGAAACATTGCAGTGACTTTGTCTTCATGCTGAGCTCCGCAGTCACTTCGGCTCCTGTCGGAAATGTTCGGCTGTTGTCGGACTCACCCGGTGTGCCAGAGGGCAGAGCGAGCGCAGCGGCTCTCAGCGCTCGAGACCAGCGCCATTCATCCGAGAGGACCGCGGGCACACCTGGTCGGACCGAGCAGAGCGAGTTTACCGACTGAAACGGCTCCACACAGGTGAGGGTATACCTTGCTTTACACTTGTAGTCAACTTTTGCACACTTTGCGGGGGTTTCACTCGAGGAATTATCACCAGAGGCGCGCGAGGAGGTGCAACTTTTGCGCATTTAAGCTAGCAGCAAACTTTAAGAACCTGTTATTATTGACGCTAGGTGCGTTAATTGTCACGACGTGGGAAAATAAAGTTACATAGGGGGTTAAGAAGAGGTGGAAAGGACAGAAAGTTGTTTGTGCTGACTTTATTTTTCCTCTACCTGTCAACAGCACCCGGGTTAATCACTTGAGGAATGCGGTGCTATTAGGACGGGAGCCGAGAGCCGAAACTTCACAGCAACTTTGCGTTAATTCTCACCAAGTTAGCAAAAAGGGATCATGGCGACAGGAGGATTTAAATCAAACGCCACGACAGACTTTTTGGAGGAGTGGAAGGCAAAACGGGAGAAAATGAGAGCCAAGATGTTGGGGGACATAGCCGCAGCCACGGGTGCTCCCTTGGGTGCCAGCAACCCAAACAGCAACAACACCAACCGCCACGCCGCCCCGGCAGCCACCGAGCTCACCAATAACGGCAGCCCGGACCGGAGCCCCTCCGCAGGGACCTACCTCCCCCCCTCCTACACGGTGGCTCGGTCCTCCTCCGGCACGGCTTTAAAGAGACCCGAGGAGGAAACGCACCACCTCGCCTATCCTGCTTCGCCCACAGCCGCCACCCCGCCAGGGAGCAACCTGAAGAAGGCCCCGCCTCAGACGGAGAAGGCTCCGTGCGCTTCCCCGGACTCCAGCCCCATGGCGTGCAATGACAGTGACAAGGGGAGCCCATCGCCCAGTGCGGCCAAGGAGAAGAAGAGCAGTGGTCCCAGTGCCAGGAAGGGGAAAGGGCAGATTGAGAAGAGGAAGCTGAGGGAAAAGAGGAGATCAACAGGTGTTGTCAGCATACCATCCAATGAGGTGAGTCAGGCCTGCTTGTGTTTAATGTGAGAAGTGAAACCCCACCTTTTCTCCACACAGACCAGCTTCACCTCAGCAGCATAGGGGATTATTTATGTTTGTGCTGTACTGGGTTTTGAGGCATGATGTTGGGATGGGGGCGGCTGTCAAAACTATTACAAAGACCAGTGACAAGTACTTTCTGTCTTTGCTGCATGAAAAGTCGGAGCACCTCAGAAGCTACATAAAGAGTAGTTGAGCATGATTGATACTGAGTTTTACAGGGCCAATATCAATGTTAATAATCTGACATTTGTTTTTAACCATCACAAATTTCCAGAGCCTATTTTTATGTCTTCTAGTTGCTTATGTTGCTTACCGCATGTCCAAATCTACATATTTTCACTTTATGACAACATAAAACTGAAAAAAAAACAACCCTTGTATTTCGGAAGCTCAAACTAGCAAATCTATGTTTTGTTTTATCTGATAAATGAGTCAAATGAATAATTAAATGATCAAAATAGATAATTAACTTTCTGGTGATGGTCTAATAAACTAATGGACTTATTTTTTAAGCTCTTAGGGGAATAAAAGTGTCAAAAATGTAGCACTAACAGCAAATATAGCAGTAAATTACTAATGTTTAACTTTACTGGAAACAAAATAAAATGAGCTAAAACATTTAAACAAGTACTGTATAGTGTGAACAACTTGTCTAAACAACCTTAAATTGATTCTAGATTATTTAAAAGCCTCATGCATCTTTGTGAATTAATTTATCCTTCATTTACCAGTCTTGCCTTGTCTTGCAATTTCTTATTACCGATCAGGTGACATGTACGCACTTTAACGTGTGTGATAAGCTAACGCCAGCTGATAAAATTGGCCTACTTGATGTATTTGTCATGCTAATAATAGATAATTATAGTCATGGCTTTGACACCACAACGCGTGCAGTCATATAAAGTTAAGGAAAGTAAATAAAGTAGCAGGAAGAGAAACAGTGGAGCAGCTTTCTTTTAATATCAAGTTGTGTGCACACATAGGGAGTTACAGGGGTCGAGTCAGGGGTTATTTGAAATGTGAGGTCACAAATCATTTGTGAAAGGTAGTGATTGTTACATTATAGTGTGATATTTGATATGGGTGTGTATATTATGGTTAGTTTTTTGGCTGTTATTCTTTCTAACATTTTGGGACCATGTTGGAAAAATGTTCTCACTTTAACACATTATCCCTCAGAGCCTGTGTTATAGATCCATAAATAATTCATATCAAAGAAAAGCACTTGTTTCCCAAAAGTCTCCAGATTTCTCTCATACATGTGTCCGGTTCAATCGACCCTCTGTAGCGAGGGGAACGTGAGCAGCTCTCAGATGTCGGGGAGGGGGAGACGAAACAGAGGGAGGGAGGGGCTGTCGGCTGTGTATTGGAAGGCGGTGCTGTGGCGTTCATTGTTATTGAATTTAAATCATGTCGCACTCTTGCTTAATTCCTGTGGTTCAGACACATGCAGGAACTCTGATATGAAGCCGTGGCTGCCAACAAGCTCTCCTCGCCAGTGCTGTGATTAAATACACTTTCAAACAAAGCACTCAAATTGCACAAAAATAGCTGAAGTAATGTTTTTTCATTAAGGCGATGGTAGCGTTTCTCCATAACCACCCCGCTTCTCATATCCCCCTTCTCTTATGGTTGATAGCCACTCGGACCTCTGTGCCCTCGGGGCAGCACAACTTGGAGTTTGACCAGTTTTTCAGTTGGCGCTCCACATCCTGTTATTAGGTGCTCAGCAGTGCCGAGCAAAGCCGTTTGAGAGCTGGTCACAAGCCAGGCTGTAATGTTGGGCTTCAGCACTCTGGGCTGTGCCAGATATGTTAGGTCGAGCCCATAGGCAGCTGATTATGTATTAAAGTGGGCGAACAGACTATTATTGGGGGGAGGTGGGAGGTAATCTGATGAAGAGGCGAGCTGATTTGTGTGAGTGAGGCAGAGAGAAAGAACTCTGATTCCAGCGTGAGTGCTGTGGTCTTACGGTACACTATAAAGACATGTCCCAGAGTCAGCTGCTTATCTGTGAGACACTTTGGAGTTTCTGGAGTGTCCGGATTACGTCTATAAGACCTTAATCTGGTTATGAGGAAACCCATTATGTGAGTTGGAGTGCTCTGATAGATGTGTAGAAAGGTTTCTGATCTCTGACTGCCATTTGAGCAGGTCCCTTATCAGTTTGGGTTATGTAATGGTCAGTAGAATAAAATTTCTGATTGTAGCACTGAAAAGAAAGTGAAAGTCGTGAAAGTGATTGCTGAATCTTTGGGTTTTTGTTGAGACAGAGCAAGCAGTTTGCAGGGTTTCCCACACATTCATTAAGTTGTGGTGGCACGCCACAATATCAGCATTCACCGCCACACACACACAAAAAAACATTGCCTGCATTTGCTTATTCAGAGCGCTGTGGCACGTACATATTGTTGGATTATTCAGAGCACCACACTGTCTGAGCACACTACAGTGAAAGCAGTGAAAGCTATGGATACACGATATTGGATTCTTATATGTGATCTTATTTGGCCGTTAACAGATACTGATATATCCACTTTTTCCCCACCTAATTTTAGTAATCATCAAGTCTCTTCTGTAGTGGACGTTAAATCATATTATGCATGTATACTCTAACATGATGGCTGCCAGCAGATGGAGACATAAAATACAATGCTTTTCAATATATGTGATATTCATTTATTATGCAAAATAAGAAAACGCATGATGGCCAAGACTAGTAGTTCATTTTAAAGCCAGTGTCGGTCAATACCAATGAAGTGCTGATACTATCAAGCATCCCTAGCGAAAGGGAACTAAACCCGTCATTAATTCATATAGAAACAGAGCACTCATTTTAGTGTTTATCATTTTTCCAGCCTATTTTGAATGGAACCAGCCACGTTCCCATGGAAACTGTGCACCCTGCAGTCCAACACTAGCTCTAACCTGTGTAAGGGCAGCAACAGAAAGTTTGCTTTCACTCACCACTGCAGCAGCTTTTCCTCTACTCCATATGTCTGATCAGCTCTGATTGATCTGACCCCACAACTCAGACTCAACAAACTGCTGCTGAGGAAAAAAACAAAACAAAATTCAGAGTTCCACCTGCGCTGCGTTCACAGACCGGCAAGGTCACACAATACAAAATGACACTGAAAAAATAAAATAATTGATTCCCAGAGGGGGAATTCTGGTGTTTAAGTGTCACAGACAGAAATAAGTACAGCTAAATAAAGAAATAAAACAATTAATATAAGGATAAATAAAAATAAGAGGTATATACAACAGCTAGTATAAGACTAGAAGTAAAAATATGACCCACACATTAACAATTAAAGACAAAGTTACAAGCAGATAAATCAGTAATAAGAAAAACTGTTGGTTGCAGCCCTAAAATATTAACATTTAAAAATCTTTAATTTGTGGCTTTTTTTTTGCTTGATAAATGTCTTGATTTTTCAGTTATCAAAAATACTTAAAATTTTCCTGTCAATCGACTACTCAATGAATCGTTTCTAATTCATACGTTTCTTAAATATATTTTATAAAATATACTGTTATAATATTGATGATAACTTATATTTAAAACTGAAATATTGATTATTATGTTAATAAGATACATATGATATGATGTAAATAATCCAACTCCTCTTAAATAATTTATGTTTCTTTGTTATATTCATTTGTCTCCCTCCCCAACGCCATCTTGTTATCTTTTTTACCATCGATTAAGTGTAACTGCTATTATTGTACGATTTTGTACAGTTATGGTTACAGACTCTGTCTCCAACTCCCTACTCTTGTATTTTTAGTTTAATTATTTGTCAAATAAAGAAACAAAATGCACAGTAAACAAAGTTGAAAATGAATTTGGCTGTTATTATTTTCAAAGTTTTTGCGATAATATTGTTATCATGAACTCTTTTGGCCACCATAATCATGTAGTGAATGAAAATCTGACATCATACCAGCCCTAAATTAATGTAGTGTTTATTCTTCCTCCTTTTTCTGACACACTGTATTTTCACTGATGACACACAACTGCTTTATTGTTTGACATCGCCTCCAGCTTCACCATTTAACACTAATGTTTAACTTACTTTAGCCTCTGACACTGAATAACAGATCATGCTTTCTAACCTCTCTTTAATAATGGAAGCTTTGTCTCTCAGATCTTCATGAACTGAGATTTTTGCAAGCTTTGGAAATCACAGAAAAACATAAAAATACTGAAGCAGGCAGCATGGCAGATATTTATTCCATTTGTCATATGTTTCCCGTTCTGCTCCTGTTGCATATAAAGAGGACCAAACTATGCAAATGAAGACTCCCCTCACACAAGCTCCCATTGTCACGAGAATATGAGTGGACAGGTGTGAAAAGAGATGCCTGGGATTATCTCCCTGCTCGTTCTGTGCAGCATAATGGCTGTTGAGCGGGATTTCAGAGCATCAGGGGAACCCAATCTTCTGCCTGGTGAGGCCATAATGGCCCGATAAAAGCTCCCTGCTCTACTGGAGAAAAGACAGTTCGGCACAGCATCAATCAGTACCACCTCCCGCGCTCCGGGAAGGTGTCTCCTTTCTCTCACCCTGCTCGCCGCCTCGGACTGGGGGCCATTGTTGTTGATGCTGACCTTTGACCTGCTCACGACATGCTTATGCAACAGAGGAATGTGGAAATGAGTGAGTGTGTGTGTGATGAGCAGTTAAGCATCTCTGAGTTTTCTCATCCGAAAATGTTTTGGGAGCCGTGATGTAAGAGTGTTTCCCATAGGACACGCCACATGTGGTGTGACGGCTCATTGTGATGCATTTTATGACCTTAGTGAGTTATGTGGCCGTGGTCAGACACTCCGACCGGGGAGTGTGAACGTTTTGTTTCATGTGGACGGCTGGATCTGCCCCACAGAGGCTGCTGCTGCTGCTGGGGAGTGTGGAGCCCGCCGGCCCCTCGCAGCTATTTGTCTGCAG